TCCGTTACTGCGGTCGATCAATACCTGTCCGTATCCAAACACACGAACATCGTCTCCCCCCCCGCCGCCGCGGAGCAAACTCTGCCACCGGGGGTCACCGCTCTCGCCCCCGGTGCCGCTGAGCCTATCCCGTGGAAGCCTGTCTCCAGGACCATCATACTTCAGGCCCGTCAGCCCATCGGGGAGAACTAAGTCTGCTTGAGGCGCTTTTTCATGCGATTTCTTCCACGTTTTTTCCTCTCATTTTTGTGTATCCTGTCATCGTAGTCTGGATTTCTTCAGATTTTGTTCTATTGGCGTTGTCATCGTCGGCACCATAGGTTCAAGGTCATCATTGCGGTCTGGACGTCTTCATTGTTGTGGTTACATTGTTCTTGCTGTGTCTGGTGATCGAGAGTGTTACTACCGTACGTAGCAAGCAGTCGTGGCTTCCGGTAAAAAAACTAAGGAGGGCTTCAGGCACGCAACGACGCCGACGAAACTCGTCGAGGAGTTGCACATCATCAATGCATACGAATTTTGGGCACAAAAATGCCAGTCTGTGTAGCACGACCATCTGTTGTCGGAGCACGCCCAAACCGGTGTGAAGAGTGCCCTATTTTTCTTCCTCCTCAAAAGCCAACAGATCGTTAATCATCGCTGCTCTATAGAACTCGTTATGATCGAACAGGAGGCCATACTCGGTCGCCCGGAAGTTAGGCGGAAATCCAACTTGGGCCCCTGCATCGCGTTGAAACAGCCCAATATACTGTGGAGCCTATATTATCTCTCCTGGGATGAAGGGAAGAAAGGTCGCGCTTCGCGCTCCGCGTCTCATTAACCCAACGACTTGATGAAAATAAATACGAGATGGGGGATCAGCAATTGGACCCGAAAGCAACCGACACCAACATCAACCCGCCACCGAAATGGGAAGCACGGAGGGAGTCTACAAGCAGCTAGAAATCATATTTCAAGCTATGTAGAATAGAAGATCAAGGCCGACATTCATTGTGAACAAATGCGCCACATGAAAGTCTCACACACCTTCCGAGAGAAAAAAACGGTGTGGCAACGTGATGATTGACTGACGACGTGGTCACGTAGTACGTACTTTGCATTTAATACTAAGAATATCTTCCCAAAATTCTTGTCTTGTGCTTTACATACATAAAATACACTATGACACCACCAGTGTACAAGAAGAGCAACAACACCACCGCGCAATTGTTTGCCCACCCGTGCAGAATGTGCTTTACTGTACAGTCCCCCAAGGACTAACTGCAGTAGCCAAGTTTTTTGCGACGCTGTAGATAGGTCGGGTAGGTGGGAGGTGTTGCGAACTGATGTCGGAATGACGAACGAACGAGGGGGACCACGGGGAGACTCCAAGAAAGAATAGAACAACTAAATCCAGCAGAACTTTATCAACCCATATCACTATAATACAGTATCCCCCCGCGCATGTCCGCACTGCCTCCTAAACCCCACGCCCACAGCCAACCCCCAGCCCCCCTAGCTACCCCCACCCAAACCCGAGACTACGTAGTTTCGTTTGCGGATGGGTGCACATATTATTCACTTCCGCTTTCCTTCTTGAATCTTCGGGTAGGACTCGAACAACAAACGAAGCAATTTCCTCTTGCCCGTTTGCCGGAAGTTGATTGAATACGTACAGCGATTAGTCTACTACTGTAGGCAGTTCTCCGCCTACCTACAGGGTTTGTCTACGGTACTTGACTGTTTTTGAACCGAACCACCGGTGGCGTCAGAGGAGGCAATCCGCGTCAGAGGAGGCAATCGTGACCTCTGTCCCCACGAGATCTTCGTCTTGCCTGTTCGCGGTGTCTCTGGCGTCCCCACTGCTGCAGGAGTTATTGACCTTCCTGGTGTTGTAGATACAGCGTTGACTGGAGAATCAGAATCGTTCGTTTCCGGAAGAACCTGGCTGCCTCTGGGTGCCCTGTGCAACTCAGAAGACCGGCGCGACAGCAAGCTGTTCTGGGGCATGGCCGAACGAGGATTGAGAAATGACAACGAAAGGCGGGCGACATTGTCCGTGCCGGTGGTAGTGGTGGCGTTGCTGTCGCGCCTTGCTCGTTCAAAGGTGTAGCCGACATCACTCCTGCGGCGTTCCACATGGCAATCCCGAATGTCGCCATTCAGGAATAGCTGTCGTTCAGGTTGGTGTCGTTTGTGACGTAAAATGAGCCGCCGACGCGGACGAAAACAGAAGCGGCAAGGTGGGGCAGGGGC